TAGTTCCATTATTTAAATCTCAAATAAAATATAATTAACATTATAACTATTTAATTTTCCATATTTTTTTTATATTTTATAAAATCTTATTTATACATTCGCATAAAATAAATATATTTTTTACATTGTATATCAAAAATAGAGAGCATTACAATCTCCTCAAACAAGACATCAATATCTATCGGTATTTTTAAAATATTTGAACATTTTAATATAGTTTTAGTAATGGCGTCATAAAATTTATTGTCAATTTTTAATTGTAAAGATGAACACATCTGCAGCATAATTTTATGAATCTTTGTTAAAATTCTTCCGATTGTATGTAACTACACATTAACAGCATGTAGTAGATTTCCTACATGTGAAATCATTCCTAAATATACCTCTGCCATTCATTATTGTAAAAAATTTTCAAAATGTTAGGACAGCTTTTATAATCTATATTTAAGAAATATTTTTTTTAAAGGTTTATAAAATTTTATAATTCTGTCGATGGCGGGTATTAGAAAAAAATCGCATCCAACATTGTGCTGACTTAATTCTATAAATACACTCTGGTTTTTCCCAAATTCACTGAGGCATTATCAAATCAGAAAGCTGACATGCAATTTATTATATTTACCATTATATGGTTAGCTATGTCTTTGGATTTTTCATGAAGGAAAAAAATTTAATAGTTTAATTGAAAGGTCCTTAATTTTGTTGAAATAGCGGAGGAGAGGATCAAGGGAAATAATTAATATTTCCCTTATTAGATGCATCTGTTAGAATTGCATGTATGCCCATCTTTCAAATCGTCAAGATTTCCTGGATTCAGGTTCTAAAACATTGATAATACCCTTGCTCATTTTTGTTCTACAAGTAAAGTTTTCATTTATCTTGGAGTCGTTAAATATTATGGGGAAAGATTCTACCTACATTGTAATGATAAATAGCTCTGTGAATGTTGTACTACAAGATAAGTGATTACAATTGCCGCAACTGTAGTTGCATCTGTATTATTTCTTATTTATGGAGAATATTTTTGTTTTGCAATAAATATAGATACACTCCCCTGCACTGATTATAATAATGTGATTGAACTATAATAAATAATATAATTATCATTGAAATGAGTACAATATTATCTTATTATGTATTTAAACTTGATACGCGATAATTAAACGCCTATTCCTATAATGTTATACACACACATACGGTAGATTTCCAATTGCGGTCTTGAGGGATATTCGCATAAAATATTGTAAAATTAAAATCGTTTGTTTGTTATTTTATCTTTACATTCTTATATATTTAAAAAAGATCGTTCGTCTTTTTTTTTATAAATTAATATATTTTATTTTGAATATTTACCGACTTTGCATTTATATTAACTAATTTTAAAAAATAATAGGCGGATAATTAGTCAATTGGCTAACAAAAAACTTTTTATTAGCAATTTTTTATTTCTACCGCAATTTTCATATTTCCCCCGCAAAATACTAAATTTCTCCCGCAAATTGAAAATTTTAACCTAGCAACCTTGATTCAACTGCAGGTCAATCTCACCAGGCGAGTCTAGGTCTGGATGGGAGGGGGGGGTGTAAGGAATAATTTTATCAAAATATAATATCGATATGGGTATCAAATAATAATTTTAATATCTTTTGTATGAAAGTCTTCGTTATTGATCTTGATGGGTATGAGGTCTGGGAGGTAAATGGAGGGGGGGGGTGTAAAAAATAGTTTTTTTTGATATGGGTATCAAATAAAAAGTAATTAAAAATTTTTTTTTTATTGTTATAATAATAATCACTCTTTAGATTGAAAGTATTCATTTTGTGTCTTGATGGGTTTGACTTGGTCTGGGGAGGGGGGGGGGTTGTAAAAAATAATTTTTATCAAATAAAAGGTATTTAATTTTTTTTTAAATTGTAATAATTATAATTTCTCATAGAGGGCGAGTCTAGGTCTTGGGGTAGGGGGGGGGGTCAGGAATATTTTTATCAACATGAAATATCGATAAAGGTATCAAATAAAAGCTAATTAAAATATCTCTTGATTGTAATAATTATACTCTAAGTAGGCCAGAGATTTTAGGTGGTCAGGAATATTTATATAAATACAAAATATTAATAATAATCAAATAAAAGGTATTTTAAATATCTTTTGACTGAAAGTATTTATTATCTTAAAGGGTTGAACTTGATCTGGGAATGGGGCAGGGGGGGGGGGGGTAAAAATAAAAATTTATATGTGTATCATAAATAATTACTAAAAAATCTTTTAATTATATTAATTTTAACAGGCTAAGCGGGCATCTTAAGATGTAATAAATATTATTATTAACGCAGAACATAAACATGGGTAGTAAATAAAAGTTAAATATAAATTTCCTGTCCCTCCAAGACCTAGAGCCCATTTAGAGGTTAATTATTATTACAATAAAAACTATTTTTGTTACCTATTATTTGATGCCCATATTAAAAAAAATATTTTTTTACAATTCAAAAGATTTTTAAAATATCTTTTATTTGATTCCTATATCAATATTTTGTGTTTATATAAATATTCTTGTCCACCTAAGACCTCCAGCCTACTTAGAGTATAATTATTACAATCAATAAATATTTAAACTAGCTTATATTTGATACCCACATCGATATTTTGTGTTGATAAAAATATTCCTGACCCGCCAAGACCTAGACCCGGCCTCGATTATTATTATTACAATATAAAAAAAACCCCTCCACCCCCAGACCAAGTCATACTTTCAATCTAAAGATATTTAAATTAGCTTTTATTTGATACCCATATCGATATATTGTGTTGATAAAAATATTCCTGACCCCCCAAGACCTAGACCCGCCCACAATATTTTAATTACCTTTTATTTGATACCCAAAAAAATTATCTTTTAAACCCGCCCCCCCCCCTTTAGACCAAGTCATACCCATCAAGACTAAAAATGAATACTTTAAATTGAAAGATATTTAAATTAGCTTTTATTTGACACCCATATCGATATTTTGTGTTGATAAAAATATTCCTGACCCCCCAAGACCTATACCCGCCTTTTATGAGTGATTATTATTACAATAAAAAAATATTTTAATTACCTTTTATTTGATACCCATATCAAAAAATATTTTTTACACCCCTCCTCTACCCCCCCCCCCCCCCAGACCAAGTCATACCCATCAAGACCAAGAATGAAGACTTTCAGTCAAAAGATATTAAAATTAGTTATAATTCGATACCAATATCGATAATTTATTTTGATAAAAATATTCCTGAACCATCTTTTGATTAGCTATCGATTGATACCCTATATTAAACATATCTTATTTCATAAGGCCAAAAAAAACAACATTGAAAATTAATAAATAACAATAAAATTAAAAAGAAATAAAACGAAACGCGTGTAAAACGCTTTTTAAAATAATATTCCTCTTTATCACGATTAAAACGTGATAATATTATCATTCCTTAACTTAAAACCCTAATCATTTTCACAAGGTAACGAGTAACGGTAACTCGTTCCCTTATTCAAACGTAACGAGCAACTCGTTTCTTTTTTGAAGTAACGTTTGCAGCACTAGTTATAATCATTTAAAATTTTTCCTTTTAATTGTTTCTTTATTTAATAAATCAATTTAAATTATAGTTAAGGAGAAGAAAAGGATAAAGATTAAAAAAAGATGACTAAAAGAAAATATTAAAGAGAAAATAGGAAGAAAGAAATAAAGTAAAAGGAGGCATGGAAGATTATTCGATGGAAGAAATAAACTTAGGAGTTAGAACGACGATTTTAAAAAGGCTCGCTTAAGATTTTTACCAAAGTAATATTACGTAAATCTAGAAATGATTTCCAAACCTTTCTTCCAAATATAAGCAAAATCTGCAAGCTTACACAATATTATTTTGGCTGATATCTTAATAGGGCAGTTTTTAAAAATAGACTAAATTAGGGCAGTTTAACACTACCTTAGGCTGATTGAAGCTGTATTGTGTGATTTTGAGAGCAGCTACGTTGTGGTTGGATGTATTTGGATCAATGCAGAAGTCCCAAACCAAATACTAACCCCTTGATCATTGAATTAAGGATATTCCATCTGGATGTTTCGCATGAGTTCTAAATATGCCAATTGGTTCCAGTCTAGAGGAAATTTATGTGGTTACATTTGGTATGCCGTGGGAAATGGTCTTGACAAACGCGGTAAGTAGGCAATGTCTACCCTTGTTATCTACGCTGGTTTCACAATATTTACATTCTAAGATATAATAATTTCGCAGTAATCTAATAGAAAATGTTAGCTCATTTCCGGAAAACAGAAATCGAGATTGTTGGAGGGCATGGTTTCCAGAATCTTGTAACCAGATCCTTGGTTCAAAGGGTAAAGCATTGTAAGATCACCATCAGGATGGTATGATTTTAGCAGAGACCTATATTTTATATGAAACTTATCCTTAATTTCGCCCAGGTTCTTACTTATATTTTTTGAAATATTCCTAGAAGTTTATAAATTCATCGTTTCAAAAATAGCATAAGTCATCTAAAAATTTTAACTAATCAGAAAAACTATAAGTATATTAGTGAAGATCTATCATTTTCTTCAGTAATTTGTGAATTAAATTAAAAAAAGGCTGTGGTTACATCTTCTTTACGAAACTACCACTACTTAGAGGCCACCCGATATTAAATTGATATGGACCGATAACCGATCGGATATCATATCTGATTTTGTATTCTGTAAACATACTAATCGTTTTAATTTTTAACGCATAACTCATCTCATATACTTTTAATATAATATCTATAATTTAACTATACCAACATAAGTCATTTAAATATAATATAATGTACAGTTATCATTTATATTCATGAATCTAAAATTATATAAAATATTTTTATTATATATCACTTATTTATAATAATAACATTAATCCATTTACATAATAAGTAATAAATAAATATATTATGAAATTCGAAATAAATTTTTTTTAAATTAAGACGCCATTTTATCGGATAGGATAATTTAATAATATCGACTAACCGATATTTGAAATAAGATGAAATATCAGCCCGATACGAAAACATAGGTTTCTAAATATCCAGAAAGTTCTTAAGCTTCCATCCCAAGAAGATTTACAAGGAATATTTAACGAAGTCACTTGGTTTGATGTATATTTAATAAAATACTAATTTTTTTTTACAAAATTGCAAATAATGTAACGAGGTAAATATAAGTATAAAATAAATAAGCGAAATTTGAAACAGATATACTTTTTAGATCATGTATTTATTTCCCATAATTTGTTACTTTTTTATTATGATTAACTTTAACAATAATATATTATATAATTTATTTACATTTGGCGCTTTTTTTTATAATAACGTATTTATAATATTTTACAAAAAATAGAAATAAAACTGATATAATAACAGAATAAAAAATAATTGTTCATACTCATAAAACATTTTTTTTAAAAACTGCAACAAATATTATAACGCATAAATTAAGATTGATAGATATAATAGTAGATGAATTACATTTGAGAAGTCAGTTGTAGTTATAGCTCATAAAAACCAGGCCTCCTCCACATACCTTTGTATCATATACGAGTCTTTAGAGTCCATGGAAGAGTAAGGTGGATCTATAAGCAATTTCCACTCTTCTATAATTTTAAATGCCTTTATCCATTTGTCGAGAGCCCATTCACCAGGTTTAGCGAAAGTAATGGGGTGGCGATGAATTTTGAGGGAACGCCATAACAATGCATTGAATTGGGAGAATAGAGAAGTAATAACGATATCATGAAATTCGGCATCGATAAATGACGCTTTGTTCATTACTATGTTAAAAAATTTTATGAATTTGAAAGTTATATTTTTAAAATAATATTAAATTTTTTTATCCGGTCAGAAGAAATGTAAAATATAAAAGACTAATATTATTTATAAAAAATTACAAAGTTTTTAAATTTTTATAAAAAAATTGACTTTAAGAACATGTTCAATTCAGTTCAATCAGACTTTAGACAAGATGACGGATAGGTTCATGAAGGGCTCTACTAAACTTCGAGAATTATATAATGAGGTTTTTTTTAATGAATAAAAACTTCCTTTATTTTTTAAACAAACCCATAAAGTGGCATTCATTTTTCATTTTCCTCATGATATCTTTAAGTGCTTTGCTTTCGGATATCGATTGATTTTCAAAGAGAACATCTGGATAATTATCAAATAGGTTTAAATGATCAATTAAGACTGGGCAGATACGAAAAAAACTGGAATTACTGATATTGATAGGTAAATTATGTAGCCGATTTGAAATTCTAAAGGGCGTTAGAATCTATATTGAATATGAAAGGATAAAAAAACATTAAAAAATTAATTTGGAAAGGGGGTATCAAATTTATTATTGACCTATTAAAAATTTTTTATCAAAAGAACTCGTTTATTACATTAAAAGATAATTAAAAAATAAAAGTTCATTTTATAAAAACAAATGGGACTACACTTTCCCAAAAAACAAGCATAATTACATTTTAAAATCATAATTTATATTTTTTTATTTAGAAAAAAAAATCACTCCAATTTCTTCGTCTATATATTTCAAAAAACTGAAAGTTCCCCTTCATAAATATATGTCCAAAGGCGCGTAGCCAGCAGGGAGAAATCCCCCTCCCCCCATATAGCTATAAAAGGGCTTCATGAATTGCAGATGTTCTATTTCAAATGGGATATATTCTATTCTAAATATAAGCAAAAGTTAAAATTAATTTAAATATTTATTTATATATTAATATTATAATTTAAAGTTCATTTTCTTACATTTTTTAAACCCTAAACACTGATGGATATAAGAAATTTTATCAACCAAAAAAATTCTATTTAATTTATCTTTACTAATAACTATAATTAGAAATTTCCAGTGTATGAAAGCAAAATATGCTGAATATAATTATTACTGAGACTTCTTGTGCCACAGGAAAAAAGAAACTGCAAAAAGCCTGAAAGACAAGATGGAGTCCCGACATAAAGCTGTTACAGCATTTTTTGGATCTAGAAGAGCCTATTTTGTATGCCCTTGGAGAGATATCAGAATCCCCTGAAACAGATATTTCTTCTGAAACTGATACATTATTAAATTTAATATGACTGCCGATTTTTTACATTGGAATATATTATTTATTACACAACAATTTTATGCAATATTTTTCAAAAAATGGATTTGGCTGAAGTAATGAGAATCGCAAATATATATATTAAAACATAAAACTAAGAGATAATATCGACCAGCGAAATATATGATTTTAAGATTCACAAGCTTCGACTTCCACCGACAAACAAATCATTTCAATATTAACGTTGACTCAATTGAGGATTAATATAAAATAACCATTTCCACTTTTAAATTTAATTTTGATTCATATCAATAAACGATTTGTGATTTATCAAATGGCGCTATTCAATTTACAAATACCATGTCTCATAACTCCTTCTGATCTTATCAATTGATATTGAAAAATTAAATATTTAGCTGAATTTTATTCATAAAATATAAATGTATATGAAGGCCGCAATTTCAAAATTTAAATGGTATGAAAGGATTCATTTTTGTAAATAATCCTTTAAAAAATACAGTGGAAGCATTGCATAAAATACATTTTATAAAGATTGCAAATATATTAAAATTACTGTATATTTTGGCAAGAGTGGACATTTTCTACACTACAGAGAATAAAAGCCTATATCAAAAGTACATCTTAAAATTGATTGAACTAGCTTTGCTCATCGAGATCTAATCCCCAACACATAAGAAATTGGCGCAATCGCAAGGGGGTAATTACATACCAAATCGATAACTTTTCGGCTCGACCTTTTTAATTTCGATAAAATTTTGTATACTGAGAGAATATCATTAGAAAGCATCGAATCCAAAATTTTAGCCTCCTAGTACTCATAGTTCCTGAGATATCAATGGTCAAAAGTGCAAAAATGACGTTTTTTTGAAAAATGCGATTTTTTAAAATTGAGATAAGTTAAAAAATAATGATTTAAAAACTATAAGTTAAATGTCAATTTATAACTCTATTAAGGGCCTTTTATTGAATATTAAAAATTTTTTCAAACTAATATTGTTGCGGTTTTTATTTAAGTTATAAATTTTAAACATGAAAACTGTGTTTCGCTTTCAAAATTTTTTGAATTTAATATTATTCTCTAACCTTATATCTATCCATAAAAAAAATTTAAACTTGGGACAGCCATGGGTTTTTTAGTTATTGCGATTTAAAAAATCAAAAAATAAATATTATTTTCAAAAATAGATGGCGCTCCTTTATAAAATTACGCGTTTTGTTAAAATTATTAATTTTTTTAAACTTTTTTCCATTTTAAACATAAATAAGATTTTCCAGCATTAATAATTTTAAATTTCGTAAAATTATTTTATTAATTTGTAAATATAATAGATAAATAAAAATTCATGAAAGATATTACTTATTTTCGGGTTTTCCTTAAATTTAATTGTTTTGACGCCATGATAATTTCGTTTTGCGATAGATTATATGTACGCCCAGTAGCCGTTGATGGGTTAACTATTGTTAAAATATTATTTTTTGGTATGTAAAGGAGATTTTGTGCCGTTGGATAAACAAAAGAGTTTGCTGGTCCTTTAGGATGAAGAAAATTAATTTTTATTTCATCTCTAATTACATTCACCTCTTGTACAAATCCTAACCACCAATCGTTATCATACACACATGTCACATATCCTCTAATCTCATAGATTAACAGATCCTCAATCAAAAGATCTTCACGTTGATATATTATATTCTCCACAACAAATGTCTGCGAATTAGAATATAGTTTAGTTTTGAGCTTAGTTAAACCAATCGGAAACACTGCGTGGATTTTTTGTGTCCCAGGTATTGAGATAGCTTTACTAAATCTCTCACGTAGCCTCATCTCTTCTTCCTCATACTCTGGTATGGTGGCATAAGAAAAATTTATACCTTTTATATGCTCTTCCGCATATTTATAAAATTGTAAAGGTGTAATTATTTGATCAGTATAAGGTCTTTGTAAGTTTGCCCTGGCAACTAACCTTTTTACTGTGCCGCCTATGCCGTCGCAGGCACTTTTACCATGTGCCGTAAAAGAAAAATGCCATTCTGCTTGGACACCAAAATCGATTTCATGGTAACAAACATTGATGAAGTTTTTCCTATTTTTATATTGAGCTGTTGAACCATCAGAAAAGTAGTAAATTTTTTCTGGTGGAGTGTCGAATTTATTTTTTAAAAAATTAATCAAATGCGATTGGAATAAATGGAATGAAACAGTATTATGAATTAAGGATTCCGATATTACCACAAAACTTAGGTTGTTAATTAGATTGCCTATTTTATAATAAATTGAGAATGGATGCAGCGTAGCTTGCGAAGTTGTCCAATGATAACCCTGAACTTCGTCTTGGACAATAAAGGAATAATTTTCTGAAAAGTCACTAATAATTATTTTCTAAACTATTTTTTAGGTTATTGTGAAATGAACTTTGTTTTTCACCAATAAATGAATGGCGTATGAGAATATTCATTTTATCGAAAAAATAATTAATAAATTCGTCTGAAGATTGAGAAATAGTCTCCAGAGTTGTTCTATCTACCGAAACCCATTGTTTAAACGTAATAAGAGCTATATCATTTTTTATAAATAATTTTTCAATGCGTTCTTTTAAGAGTGTCGAGCCAGGACACTCGCTACAGTCACCAAAATAACAGGTTGGTAATGGGGGGTTGCAAATCATTCTGCCTATAACATCTCTATAAGTTGTTAAAATATCCTCACCATTTTTAGTCAATGTTGCTAATTCACAGCCTAAAATCATTAGTTTAATATTCTGGTGTATGCTACAAACGCATACACTATGTGTTCCGCTAGCCCCTGCCAATATGCTATTTTTTGGTCTTAAGCTTGCGAATTTCGAAAATACAATTGTTATGCTTGAATTACTCTCCTTAAAATGATTATATAATTCTTTTAAATTATTAAGAACTAGCCTTTTTTGAGCGTTCACTCGTTCCCCCTTTTCAATGATAGATATGCAATCTTTTTTTCCTGGTAATACCCTGCTAACTTCATCACTGCAAAAAAAACTTTTAACAATATCAACTGTTTTTTGATTGAGATATTTTGCAGGCTTTCGATTTGGAGTTGAAAGAATCCCTTTTTCTTCTAAAATGATTTTGGAATTATATGCCATATGATATGTAGCGTTGAATTCCGTTTTTATTTTATTTGCACTCCAATTAGGAGGCAGAATGGTCAGCAATTGATATTTTTTATTTTTAGATAAATTAGGATAATGTAATTTCATATTGTTGAGTATATCATTATTGTCTTTTGTGTCCGATTCTGGATTGTTAATTATTATATCTGAAAGAGCTTTTGATATTTTTGCTATCTTTTTTTTGGATAATTTTTTTCAGTTAGTTTTTTTTTCTTAATAGGAGATATTTTAATTTCGTTTAAGGTTAAATTGATTGTATCTATTGATGCGGATGCTGTGGGGATATTATTTACATATTCGTTATCAGAATTTATATTTTCAATATTTTTTTGTGATAAACGCTTACGACATTTATCACAAATATAGTGTTCCGCCTCAATGTTTGGAAATTGTGTCATCCACGTCGTGACTTTACGCAGGTTCTTTTTACAATTAAAGTGTTTAGATTCTTTAAAAGGATTTGCACATTTATATTTTATACATTATAAATAATTTTAAGAAAAAAATAATATTGAAATATTTATAAAATAAAAATTAATTAATATCAAAACTTGCTATTATCTTTCAAAAATTAATTATATTTTCTTTTATAGGAATTGTAACTATCTTTTTAGGAAATTAATCATTTATTATAAAAACTAATAATTTTTACAAGTTATCAATAAAGTAATAATAATAATAAGTAAGTCTATCAAATGATTTAAATATATTTTCATAATATTAATGCTAAAAAATCTTATTATTTATGTTTAAAATGGAAAAAAGTTTAAAAAAAATAATAATTTTAAACGCGTAATTATATAAAGGAGCGCCATCTATTTTTGAAAATAATATTTATTTTTTGATTTTTTAAATCGCAATAACTAAAAAACCCATGGCTGTCCCAAATTTAAATTTTTTTTATGAATAGATATAAGGTTAGAGAATAAGAAAATATCAAATTCAAAAAATTTGGAAAGCGAAACACTTGGAGTTTTCATGTTTAAAATTTATAACTTAAATAAAAACCGCAACAATATTATTTTGAAAAAAATTTTAATATTCAATAAAAGGCCCTTAATAGAGTTATAAATTGACATATAACTTATATTTTTTAACTTATCTCAATTTTTAAAAAATCGCATTTTTCGAAAAAACGTCATTTTTGCATTTTTGACCATTGATATCTCGGGAACTATGAGTACTAGGAGGCTAAAATTTTGGATTCGATGTTTTCTAATGATATTCTCTCAGTATACAAAATTTTATCGAAATTAAAAAGGTCGAGTCGAAAAGTTATCGATTTGGTATGGAATACCCAAGGTTTGATTAGCTTTTCAAATCATTATAAAATGTTTAATTTTATATTTTTCATATAGCTATAATATTTTTTAACCGTATTATATTTGCTCTTAATATTTTATATGATAATTAGTTCTAATAAATTATTAATACTCCAAAAAAAAATTTCAATATAAAAAAAATTATATCTCCCCCCCCCCCCCACCCCTGTAAAATTTTTGGCTATGAGCTTGTACATCCAAGAGAAAAGATACGATTAGTATTAAAATATAAATATAATTTAGAGTATTTATTTTTTATCTCGACAATATCAACCGGATTCGAATTAACACCTTTGTGGAAATAAAAAATTAAGGATTCATTAAAGGCCGGGATATTGAAGTTAAAACAAGCGAAAATATATTAGTTTCAAAATAAAAATCCAACGTGCCTCGGAGGGGAACATAATCTTAGTTTGGTAATCATCAGTAACGCGAAATTGCAGATTGGGATCGAAGCGATATATCCCTAAAATTGGTGAGAAATCTGAGGAATAAGGCGATCTATAGAGAAAATCAATAGAAAATGCGATGAGATTCTGGGCAAGACTGGCTCTGATTTTCCATTTTGTGAATCGGGTAACTTTATATATGAAATAAATTTTAAAAAATAAATAGTCTATAAGGAATCTGTATATTCACCAATTTATGTATTAAGAAAATATATTTCCACTAACCAAATTCTGAAAATTTGATATTAACATAAAGGAATTGATTTTTTTGCATAACTAATTTTAAAAGAAATCATTTTGTACCCAAGCATTTTTTTAACATTTCAACTTGTAATATCACAAACACATCATACTAAATGTTTTCCGAAAATAAAGTTTTTAAAAAGTATATATGCCCCTTTCCCTGAAAAAAAGATATATGGTTGCCTTTGAGAATAATGAATAATTAGTAAGTAAATTAAATAAATATTGTATTATTTAATTATCTTTTAAATAATTGCAAGGTAATTTAATGTTTATCAACCAATTTAGACATTGTATTATAATTAAATGACAAGGCTAGGACGATCAGATTTGTATAACAGAAGATATGCGATACCTTTAAAATTATGACCGGGATATTTCAACGAATAAACACTACCACAAGCGCCTAAAACTTGCGGCAAGTATGTAGCATCCCAAAATAACAACCTGTACAAGAAATCCGGCACCATTATCAATGAGTATAGAGTGTTAACTTCATCGGCGCTATACTGTTTATAAAAAGAAATGCAAATAATTTTTTTTCAATAAAAATATCGAATAGATTTTAATTCAGTAAAATGAGAATATAATATTAATTTATTCGGATGAGGGCTTATTCTGTCGTGTAAATTAATAGATAAATTTTTTTTAAAAATGGATGATTTAACTCCTTAGCCTTTATTTATATTATACTCCAAACTAAAGACCTGCAGGAGACACACTTTTTCAACCCAACCCGTATTGTAGGAAGATAAACATTTTTTCGACCTGAGAACTATTTTTTAAAATTCTGGATGCAACTCAATACCAACATAAAATTAATTTCATATTCCGACCCAACCTGATACCTAAAATAATAATATATTTAAAAAAATGTTCACCCTGAAATTTAATTCTTTTTCAATATGTTAAACATATAATTTAAAATAAATACAATTTTAGGATACTAAACAATGAGAACGTGATTTATATCACTTACATTTAAAATTTGTAAAAAAATATTCCAAACCCGATCCACACTAAAAAAATAATCGCAGTTTCCCAGGTTAAGTTTTGGGGTTGGGTCAACTCATGCAGACCTCTACTTTAACTTAATCCACTAAAGGAGTAGGAAAAACTACGTTTGATAATTAAATTGAAAAGGGATTATACCATTCCTCTATGGAATTTATATTTTACAATTTTCTACATAGGGTTGATTGTAGATGCTTTTATGGGCGATTTGAAAAGGAGATAAAGGTTCAAATCGACCCCCTTCCCACAACAATTTTTAAAAATTGCTTAAAAAAATACGAAAGCAGGTAAAAATAAAAAGACTTTTTAAATAATGGTTTTAATAATACACTACCCAAATTCAATAAAAAAAATGACCAAATATCAAATTTCTGGTAGCATACAATTTTTGAAATAAATATTTTAAACGAGTCTTTAGATCATCATAATACAGTTCTTTAGACATATAAAAAAAATTTTAAGAAAGATGACAAATATAAAAGGTGAAGCGTGATTCAATAAAAATAATATGATTAAGTAAGTTTAAAAACTTTCCCGCCTTTTAAAATTTGTAGCAGTGTTTGTTTGAATCAATGTCACGAACGGGAGGAAGTAGGGGTGGGAGGTTTGAGCAATTTGCTTCCAAACTATTAAGGGGGTAGTTGGGGGCTACGAAGGGTTCAACATTTGCTCAAAATTCAAAAATCTTCGCTGTTTTGAAGATCAAAAAATGTGATGTCACGAACGGGAGGAAGTAGGGGTGGGGTGTATGAGCAATTTGCTTCCAAACTATTAAGGGGGTAGTTGGGGGCTACGAAGGGTTCAACATTTGCTCAAAATTTAAAAATCTTCGCTGTTTTGAACATCAAAAAATGTGAAGTTATTTTTGTAAAAAAAAAATTGACATGCTCAAGAAAGATTTTTGAGCAAAATTCTTCTTTGATTTTCTCATTTTAAAAAACATCTGGAAAATTTTTTTTTTATTCATTTAAAAAAAAACATAAAAGGGAAAATCAAAGATTTTTTAGATGAGAATTTTTTATTTTGCTCAAAATTTTTCTTTGCGAAAAGATCTTTAATTTTTTTGATCTTCAAAGTTTTTTGCTAAAAATTTAAAAAATAAACTCTATTAGAATTAAAATTTTAGATGAAATAGGGCAAAATATATTGCGGTAAAAAAGTATTCGATACATTTATTATATGCTTATTTATACATACATAGATTGCTAAACATCGATTTTTTTGCATCCAATACAATCATAGTCAATGAGTAATTTTACAAAAAAAGAACTAAATTCTGGATAATTTTCTGCTAAATTTTGAAATGTAATTTAAAATGGGTGAGCATTATGTGAGCCAACTTAAATTTATGCTAAACAATACACTATAATAATACATTCATCGTAAATGAGTGTAAGTAGAAGGTTTTTTATTTAATTCTTATTTAAAAAAAAATTATTTCAGATTAATTTTTTGAAATAATAGAGTATTGATAAATTTAAGAAACTATTTTTAAAAATATATAAAAGGATTATAATTATTAAAGACCTGCAGGGATACTATTTGCGAGGCCCGGACCGGATTTTAAAAAAATTTTTTTGGCTCGACCCAACTAGTGTTTCATATTTTTAGGCTTACCCCAGATTTTTTAGGCCTGGTGTAATGTGATATTTATAACTGACGTGTAGTTAAAAGTTTCTACTATTTAGTAAAACTTACATTTATGACTAACGTGTAATGATAAAAGTTTCAATATTTAGTGTAACTTATGACTGACGTGTAATGTAAAAGATTCTATATTTAGTAATATAGACACTTATGAGTGACAGGTAATATTGCGATTTCTAATATTTAGTAATATTAACATTTTAGTTCTATTTTCGACACTTTTAAATTATTTCTGCAGAGGTACAATTTGCATGGCCCGGCCCGGATTTTTTAAAAATATATTACATTTTCAATTTTTATAGCTAATTGACGATTTAAAATATTAGGTTTTAAAAAATACGGCCCTGGATATCTTTCTTTCTTTCTTTTAAAAAAAGATAAGTAGGCCTGCAGATCTTTGATTTATTCTTATGTAAACATAAAATTACATCACATTCATCAAAAAAAAGTCTAACTATTGTACTTTTTATAAAAATGACTATTTAAAAAATATAAAATGCAATAAATATTATATAAATTCGCGATTAAATAGCACTCAACGAAAAAAATGCTTATCGATTGTACCTTTAAATAAATTGCAATAAATAACAGGGATATGAACCCGAACCCTCGTATTTTGGCTGAACCCGAACCCTTTTTAAAAGTGGAGGGTCCAAGGGTTCTAGATGTCATAAAAATTTTTAAAAATAAAATAAATTATTTTAAATTTTATTAACTTTTTTTGTAATCATTTATTTTATCTTCGCGTTTTTCTTTCAATTTTCTTCCTGGACTTCCATTTTATTTAGAGATTGATATCATAATTTTTCAGTGTAATAATATTTTATTATGTAAATTTATTAATATGTTTGTTATAGAAATACGATGATTATTTTGAAAGTGAATTATTTTGTAGTACAAGTAATAATATTTTAATTTAAATGATAATGCACAACACGTTGGTCCTCAATTTGTATGATGCTAGAACGATTATTAAGTTTGAAAGATTTCTGTAATAATTTTATTATAGGAGCATGTGAAGTCATTTTGTCGGAAGATGATTGGTGCCAAATAAAGGACCTTATTAGGGTATTAGTTCCTTTAAAAAATAATAATATTAAGATTACAATCAGAACAATTATGTTTATTTGATTTTAAAGCATATGGATTAGATGCCGATTAGACTTAGAAAAATTTACAGTCCTTTTTATACGAAATATTAGAAAACATGAAAATTCGAGAGCAACATTATTTGCAAAATAGTGTTTTATTCGCTTCTATATATTTAGACCCTGGATATCAAGTTTTATTGAGTATTGAGCAAAAACAAATGGCTAAAGACCATCTTAAGGATTTATGGCATAAGCAAAACTCCATTATTTACAATATTGGTGGCTACGACAATACCTATTGGTAGTAGTGATAATAATAATAATGATAGCAACATTGATGATCTTGAAATTTTACTTTTAGATGGAGAAAAAAAAAATCAAATTATCAACAGATAGAAAGGAGGATCAAAAAATGCTTATTGCATCTTTAATAGTAAAGTTCTCAGAAGCTAAGAGAATAAATAAGGCTATAAATATTTTAAAATTTTGGGAAGAAAATTCTTCAATATATCCAGAATTATATATCTTATCTAGAATCTTCATGGCTGTACCGGCGACACAAGTACAATAATTTTATAAAGATAGCTATATATTTTAGGTAAGGGTAGAACGTGAATTTTCATCTTTAAAATATATATTATCTACTTCACGTGGTAATCTCAATGGTGATATTTTAGAAGATATTATGATTGTGCGAGAATAAAACATTTAAAATATAAATTATTTCATTTTTAAATTCATTTGTAAATTATGAATATGTATAGAAGTATAATAATAAATGAATAAAAAAAATCTTATTTTGAATCATTATTTTTATGTTCCCTGAACCCGGACCCGGGTCCTTTCAAATTTTATTCCTGTACCCCAACCCGGACCCTTTTTTTGTCGAAGGGTTCACATCCCTGATAAATAATGGAATAAAAATATTAGAATCAAATATATATATTAATCACATGTATATAATTCTAATAAAATGATTGTTATTTTGATTATATAAATATATTTTCTTTAAAAATTATTAAAAATTTAATATATCGGTCTGCAACAATGACGCTATAGATATTATTTCCGCATCTGTGGCCCAGACACAGTATCCATGTGCGGTATCCTTCTAAAGGATTCTATATATTTTTCGATTACCAATTTGAAAACTTCGCTCCTCATAAAAGCAACGCATTCCTCCCTCAGATAATTATTATTATCTTGACTATTTGATATTTACTTATACATATAAAAATATGTCAAACAATTAAATATTATATAAAGATACTAATCTAAAAAAATATTTCCCATCATCAAAATCTCTTTTAATATACCACTTTTTATAATTATTTTAAAATTGAACCGTTTAGAGTGGTATCATTTCCATCTCCTATTTGTGAAAAGGAAATGTTCCTTAATTTTCTATTGTATTATTGCATCCACAATAATTTCATCATCTAAATTAGATAATTATATAATATCATATTTAAAAAAAATATTACCTTTACTCTGATCTTGTACACCTAAATATTCTTCCTCTCCTACTTTACTTTTACTCATTTTGTGAATGTATAATTAGCAAAAAAAATTTTTTTTTAATATAATACCATTTCCTGGATCTTAACCAAATAGGTTTATATTCAAAAAAATATATATTAAATAATTTTATTATACCTCTTCTCTAGACTAGGTTTATTTTAGTGCCCCCTCTCAAATTCAACCGTAGGATTTTAGATCAATAATAATATTTTTTTAATTTTTAAAAAATAATATTTCACCTCCATCTTTTATTACATAGGTCATTTCATCAAATAGTGCTTCTTCTAATGGAAATATAATAATCAAATATATATTTTTCCTTTTTCCAAATACACTTGATTACCTTCTCCTTCTCCAACTATAGTTTTAAGTAGCCCACAATCTTAATTATATGTTTAATAATATGTTATGAATATTCTGTATATATTACCTTGATCTTGAACACCCTCTATAATTTCACGAAGTACATTTTTTTCGCTTTGATCGTATCTTTACCATTAAGTCATTTTTTGTATATTTAAAAATAATACCTTTCCCTCTATATGTTTTAAATTACTTAGATCAGATTCAATGTGTAAAATTTTTCCAGATGAAGAAGATAATTTTGGTTAAATATGTATATATATTTTGTAAAAAATAATTTTACAATTAACAATTTATATGGGCCTATCCAAGACGCAACATTTCAGCTCCTTTTCATGTCAGCTCAACGATTATTTCATACAAGCACTTTATCATTTATGTGATAAGGTGGATCCTTAACAGCATTACGAGTTTTATAATCTCGTTGCTGCTTAAAATATATGTTTATGTAATCGAAATAACACTCATTTTATTAGAATTATATCCATGTGATTAATATATTTTTTTTATATTATTATTCCATTATATTTATTGCAATTTATTGGAAATTACAATCGCTAAGTATCTTTTTGTAAAATAATATGTAATTTTATGTTTGCATATGAATAAATTTAACAATATTTAACCTACCTAGTGTATATTTTGATCAATGTTTTTTTTTATCATGCTTTAACGTTTTAGAGGTTAAATTATTTATAAGTAAAAAAATTTAAGTGTCGAAAATAAAGCTAAAATTTTAATATTAAATATTAGAAATTATAACATTACCAGTCAATAATAATATTACAAAATATTAGAAACTTAATTACTTGTTGAGTGATGGCTAATTAGGTTCAATCTCCAGGCGCTTGCCGGAGAAAATCCGTTAAAATTAAGGCGTTTAAATTATATTTGTTTCCTCCAAATTTCGGCTGCTATCTTTTTAAGAAAAATTCCGGGGCCAAAGTGTTAGTTTAAGGTTTAAAACTTGGTTTAGCCGGACTAAAAATACAGTTATTACCCAATTATACTTGCCAATCATAAGTGTCACTATTATAAAATATAGAAACTTTTAACATTACATGTCAGTCATAAATGTCAAAATTATTAAATATAGGAACTTTTAACATTAGTCATAGATGTCAGTATTACTAAATAATAGCTACTTACATTACACGATGAGTAATTACTAAATTTTTTGATGATATTTAGTTAGAATATATTGTAAAGTAAATCATTAGTTCCAGTATTACTAAAGGGAGTTAATTTAAATTTAACTTAATATATAACAAAATTCTGAGGCCCAGCCTGGTTATATTTTAAAAAATCAATTCTGAGGTTCCCTTTGTAAACGAAGATAGGATTCTATTACTTAACGATCATTTTAATGAATTGCATTGTTTTTGATTGGATAAGCTGATGAGAGTATTTCTCAGTCGTTTTGTGATTTTAAAATGCAACAATAAAGATTCCTTTACACCATTCCATAGACAAGATCAATGTGACTAAAAGCAAAATTTTAGCCTTCAAACACTTTGGAGATATTAGAGGCCAAAGTGTGAAAAATCTCTTTATCATTATTGGCCTCCATTCAATAATGATTTAGTAAAACTGTGTTACTTTGGTTATATTTTCTTTATCAATTAATGTTTATTAATTTATCGATTAATATATGTTCATTAATTTATTTTATCGATTAATATGTTTATTTATTTATTTTTCAAGTTAATATTATTGCGGGAAAAATTAACATATTTTTATTATTTTACATGTTTTTTTATCATTCTTGTTTATTTTTTTAATTATTTGAGATATAAATATATATCAGGGTTTCGAACCGTTAAGTAAGCGGTTCGGTTCGTTTTTTGTTTAAAATTTTATAAAGATTTTGCCATTTCGGTTATTTTGAAAAAATACATATCGGTTCGGTTAATAATTTATAACGGTTCTTTTCGGTTCGTTCCTGCTTTTATAAATTTGATTTTAAAAAAAAATTAATCATAAACCATATATTAATCTTAGAGAAAAATATTTTTAATTTATATTTTTATTTCTTATTTAATTTAACCATGATAATCTAATAGATATTTTTTTATTAAACTTAGTAAATATAAATTAGACTTTATTTTCATAAATAAATAAGATAAAAACAAACATGCGCAAATACAATGAGGAATAAAATAACGCATAAATATAATGAAATTTATACTATTTATGTTAAAAAGAGAATTAGAACGGATAAATAAAATATTTTCTAATATTTCAGAATTTAATTTAGTTCTTTGTGCAGATAGTAAACTTAAGGCTAGAAAATGCCCTTTCTAAGGATACCTGCATAGCTTGAACTGCCAGAATTTTATAGCTAACTTATAAAGTTCTGGCATACTATTCTTTACATTTTCCCCAAAATTCAAAAGATTATTAACTTTTTCTAATTTCTCTATATTATCAAATGACTGAATAATATATTCTATTTCTATACAAATTTTCTATGCCCTAAGAATTATTCTTATTAAGCCTTTGATGCTACTTGAATAAATCTTTAAAAATAATCATCATAATTATCTTCCGAATGTGAACTCGTAGGCTTAGTATCTAGAATTTCAATATTCTGATTATTTAAATTTTTTATTATGTTCAAGTTTTAAAAAGATGTTTTTTGGCGATCTATTTTCCTTCAAATGTTAAAAATACATTGTATCTTGGGTCGTGATATTTTCTTTTTCAATAGTGAGATCAAATGTTTTATATTAGTCCAACAGAACATCCTTAATCGAATTCCGCACTAGTTTTATTGTAACTTGATGAAGCATTCCTAAATTGAATACTACTAATCATGGTAGTCCAAAAAGAGGTACATATTAATGTTTAACACTACCAAAGTAGGGTCCTTGCCCAAGATCCAATCTTAACATTAACTTGAATCTCGCCCTAACATCTATCAGGTGATCACCATATGTGGTCAATGGAAAATTGGCTTGATTTTTTATTGCCCAATACTTCTTAATATATCAATTTCGAACAATGACACCTGTGCACCAGTGTCAAAATCAAATTCAACATCTAACCCATTAATCTCTGCCATTAATTTTTCTCAATTCTACTAATTTTGTTGAATCTTCCATATATCATGAATAGAATCACTTGATGATACTCATATAATTTAAGTTTTATGAATTACAACAAACTGCGTAATGACCAATTTTTTTACATTTTTTTGCATGCAGCTTTGTGGCTGGACATCTTTCTTCCCAGTTATTACTAAACCTACATTTATAAAATCTTACTTTATTATATTTGGCTTTATTATATCCTATGGATATTTATAATTATTATTATTATCATCCTTTTTTGTTATTTCACCATTTTTTTTATAATTATTATTATTATCATCCTTTTTTGTTATTTCACCATTTTTTTTATCTGCATGCTGGAAGTGATTGCCAGATCAAGAATAAATTGGAAAGTCAATATGTTATTATCTCTATCAGGAGCATCAGAATATAGAGCCCTAAGATTCCTTTCCAATCATGGCATTTGCCAACCATAAACTGATCACACAAACACTTGTCAATATTATTAAGAGATTGACAAAGCTTGCCAATTATTGCAATTTTATCCATAAATTTAGTTTTTTGGTATTCTTTTAAATCCAAAGTCAAATCTAGACACAACTCATCTCCAATAAAACTAAATAGAAACTGTGGTAGACTAAGTAGATAGTTATTTTAATCATAATCAATATTATAAATTTCTGAATATTCTTTTTTAAATAATATAATAATCTTATTTATTACAAATTGTTCTTAAAAAATATTTTTATATTTTTTTGAGTATAAAAATATATGTAGGAAAAGTAATATGAACAGTTGTTAAATTTGATTGTATTGCATCTAAATTTGTTAGCAGTTGAAAAAGATTAAGAATATATTCCATCTTTTTTTTAAAAAATAAGTTTTAATTTTTTATAATGACATGTATTCATTTTTAAGTGTTGTTAAATGGCTCGATTTTAAAAAATGGCTACCCCAATATTTTAACCCAAAAATGTTATGCTAGTCTCAATATCTCATTAAATTTCCAGGCTAATATTTTTTGCCAAAATATTGGTTTAGCCATTTTTAAAAATAGAGTTAAACAACACTGGGTGGGGGGATTTTTGAGAATTAACAAAAGTTTGCAAGTTTGTTATGGGCAAGAATTTATTCAAGCTTCTGTTTTGGCTAAATTTGTAGATTTTTAAAAAAAATTCAAGTGAAAAATGGAATATGTAATAAATTAATTGTTATGTATTTTAAATTTTATGATTATGCTAATAAAATAAAATAAACTATTAAAAAATAACAGCATGAATGAACTTTAAAATATGGAAATTTTAATAAAACATATTGTATAAACATAATTTTGTGAATTTATTCAGTATAATTACTATTTTATCTTTATTCATATCTAATAGCTTAACAATATTTTTCCAAACATATGAATAGTCACCTATATATATATAAAAGTATATCAATATTATTATATCATTTATTTACTATGCCCATAATTATGCTGCAAATGATCAATAATGAGTTCATAAAATTGACTATTATTTGTTATGTGATATGAATATTGGTTATATAGATTTGATTTTACATAATTTTGAAAGATTTTATAATCATCCCATTTATAATTGCAAACATATAGAGATCCATCAGAACCTTCAAATACCTTTTAAATTAAATATTATTCTATCAAAAATATATAATTACTTGTCGATTCTTCTCAAACTTTAAACATCTGTCAATTTTGATCTTGTTACAGAGCCTATCACATATATTGCCATTAATCTGATTTTTATTATAAAAATGGCACTATAATAATTATAAATATTTTTATTAATTTATCACATTACCGTAATTTTAATGCAATCATTTGCATGGCAATAATCAGATTTATATTTTTTGAAAACATGATAAATGATTAAAATAGTTAATAGAATGAATATTATATAATATTTTATTAAATGTTTTTTTCTCATTATATCTACATTTTTAAAATTGGTTTTTCAAAAATCAGACGATTGACATCTGTTAAAAGTCACATAACCTCTCAGATCTCACAGGTCTAACAATATTGAAATATCATTGAATATTTGTTGGCAACTTAATTACTATATTTTCTATTTTTATTTATATTCTTAAGCAGATGATATCCACCGGATATTTTGTAAATTATAATTATCAAGCTATATATTAGTGATCTGCATGGTCAGATTTTTATATCCTGCTCGATCCCGTACGAAATTTTTTTTTATTTGTCCCTAGAAGCTCGACCTGAAATAAAGTAAAAATTATTCACCCACCTGGCTCAAATTTATTTAAATTAGAAAAATTTATTTTATTTAAAAAAATATTCTGTAAATAAAAAATATTAGCGCCTCGTTTCTTGCAAGAATTTTAAAATATATCAACTTATCTGACAAACTGTAATAATATCATATTCAAAAATTTAAACTTGACACGGCCTGGCCAAAAATTTTTTTTAAATATATTGGGGCCTACTTAGTCCGAACCGAAATTATTTCTCAAAAATAAACCCGGTCCGCCCCATAACCCGTTCTGGCCGGGTCGGACTGCGATTCAAAAATTTCTATTATAAATGTGATAGTATTTAGACATAGTACCAGAGTTGTTAAAGTATCTAGATACAAGTATCTAGATATAAAAATGTAGTATCTGTATCTAGATAGATTTTTTAGAAAGGTATCTGTATCTAGATATTTTTTTAGAGGTATCTGTATCTGTTTTACATACTTTTTAAGATACATTTTATATACCCCTTTTTTTATTATAAATAAAAATATTTGACTGTAAAATTTATTTTATTTCATCTGTTTACCACTCTTAGATGCCTTACTTAAAGGGATTGAGTAGGTAAATTAATATAATAAATTAAAAATATTTAATAACTAGGTTTATTGTGACCTTATTTGAAGATGATAATATTATAGCAACCATGCTCCACTCTTTTTTTAAACTTGATTGGACATGGTTGCAAATGGATGAAAATCTTAATAAAAAAAACAATTGATACAAAGATAAGCTGGTGAATTATCAAAGTCATCAACTGACTGCAAGCAAATAACCTGCCAAAAAAAACAAATAATTTAATTTCAGATTTTTTTCAGTACCCTACAGCAGATATAATTTCTAATAATGATTTAAATTTTGATAATCAACAAATTTTAAATAATTTTTTCAAAAATGAATATAGAGATTTTAGCATTTTTAAAGAATACACTGATATAAAATTGTTATTTATTAAATATAACACTACAATTCCTTCAAGCGCCCCTGTGGAAAGACTATTTAGTGTTGCTAAAAATGTTTTTACAGATAAACGAGGATGCCTAAATGATCAAAATTTTGAAAATATTTTATTACTGAAATCCAGAGTTGTTAAAAGATACTTTTTAAATGGATCTAAAGATACTTTTTAAATGGATCTAGATAAAGACACATCGTCTAAAAAATAACTAGATACTGATATTTTAATCAAAAATCTATCTAGATACATATACAGATACCACATTTTTATATCTAGAAACAGGATCTAGATACTTGTACCTAGATATTTTAACAACTCTGCTGAAATCTAATAATTATTTATAATTATTTAATCATATATTTTCATATATTATATTAAAATCATTATTTTAGTTATATTCTGATAAATGTTATATCGCGTCAATAAATTTTTTAGCTCATTTCATGAATTTTCACAATATAATATTAATTTAGCTTTATGCAAACCTATAAGAGCATAATAAAAAATGTATCTGTATACAGATACATTTAAAAATTGTATCTGTATCTTCATAACTTTTTAGACGCTGTATCTGTATCTAGATAACTTTTGAGACTATGTATCTGTATCTGTATCTAGATCCATTTAAAAAGTATCTTTTAACAACTCTGCATAGTACAATTAAATGATTTATTGTATATTTAGATATGAACCATTTGGGCCTGGAAAAAAAGTTCCTTTAAAATTAATATTTTTTATATATTCTGTTTTTAAATTACATATAATAATATTTGCAAATTGTAATATATACATAAATGAATAAAATTATGAAAATAAAAAAATTAGAAATTTATTTTATTGAAAATGAAAACAAGTCTGATAATTAAATTAGTTTACAAATTTTGCCAAATACATGGTTACGAAAAATTTTTGACCGGGTTCGGTTCGTGTTTGGTTTAAGGTAAAAAAAATAGGTTGGTTCAGACCGGGTTCAGGGAAATATTCTTGAACCCAGGTTTGGTTCCAGGTTCAGCTCGGGTTTAAGAATTTTTGAATTGATAAAAAAAAATTCTATATTTAAATCATAATTGAAAAACTAGACAAAAATTTGGTATAAAAAATAAATTTTTAATTTTATTTATAGGCAAAATATAGTTAAAAATACAAAAGATTGCAAAAACCGCCCTTCATCTTTGTTTAACAATTTTTAAGTTAGATTTTGAGAATTCATTAATTAACAATATCCAATATAATAATTTTTACTTGGACATCACTTTCATTTTCCTCTAATTAGTAATCTTTGAGAATAAGCTAATAATTAAAAATAAATGGCGTAAATGAATTTAATTGATTTATTAACACTCCAATATCAATCTTTGAGAATAAATTATATAAGTTTTTTTTCCGGGTTTGGGTTCGGTTTTAATCTCTGGTCAACGTCATTCATGACGTCATGTCATCGCTACGTCATGTCATCGGTATGTATTTATTTATTTATTTTTTTTGTAAATAAATTTTTTGTTTTGTCAAGTATCATTTATTTCCTAATTTATTAATATAAATTACCCCTTTTTTATCATCCGGTTTCGAATAATAAATTTCTTTTATAATAATTTAAACAAAAAATATATTTATTCTTATTTTTTAAATAAAATGTTGAATTTAATTTCAATTTTCACAAAAAAAATAAATAAAAATATTTATGACTTTGTGGAACAAAAATAATAAATATTTATTTATATAAAAAAAATTAATTGGCAAAAATAAATGTGACACAAAAATAATAAATATTATTTTATATAAAAAAATATATTTGCTAAAATAAATGAGTCACATGCCCCCACTAACTAAAGCTCAAACCCCGTCAGGTCGAACTCTAGTAGTATTTCTAATTCCTCGGCTGATAGATTTACTATCGGCCAGTTTCCCTTAGTCCCGCCGTTGAGATTCTTATCCGCCGTCTGCTCGAGCGATGATTCTACCACTGTCCTGGCCGACCTCGTCTCCTCCGACTCCAGAGTACGAGGCGTTTTCAGCCTTGGTAGAGAAAACTGTTCGGACTGGCCACACCTCGCTTATTATTCCGCTGCAGTTTTATTGTAACACGAGGGCACCGACTCAACCTGTGGTCTTAGCCCTATATTTATAACAAATTCATAATCTCCTCTGCGACCGCGATTTTGTATGGCTGGGCTCCGGTAACTCGGATCTGGCATCCCTAATATTATTCATTTCTACGAGCGGGTAGTCTGATTTCAGAGGGCCTCGGAGGAACAATATCATTTCGCACAAACGAATGCAAGCTTAGTCCTCCTTCATTCACTTATGAAAAATGCTGATTCGAATCGTCAAATTCTCCCAATATAGGCATCTAGGAATTTCGGAAATTATTCGTGGATAACATAATATTCATATCGGCATAGTGAGAAAAATTTTGTAAAAATAATTTGCTTACTTAATTCTTTTTCTCCCAAACAGAATTCTTTTAAATATATATATTTTTTAAAAAATAAAGAAATTTCCAAAAATTTTTTTTAACTCGGCTATTTATGCTTTTAATCCCAATCCTTCCATCAGAATTATTTGGCAACATTTTTGTTTTCTCTATCCAACTGTCAACACCCATCTATTCTACTCTCCAAAAAGATAACATTTTATTTCCAATTTTTGATTTATAATACTTTAGAAACACGACGTTTCCAAAATTACTAATGTCATTATACGTCAATTTTTGATTTAATATATTTTAAAAACATGATATTTCCAAAATTGCTTGTTTCTCTAAATTCTTTTAGCTTAATATTTTATGCAAATTCTTATTTAGCGTTAGACTATAACATTCTTCTTTTCCTCTCTTCTTATACAACATTTTTTTAATCGCTATACAATGGTTAATAAGCATACATATATTTTTAAAATTTTCAAATGGGCGAAAAAAAATATCTTATAGATTGTTTTAGCATTAAGCATAACTATGCCGATGGATCGCCCCTATGAATATAACTTTATCCAAATCTTACTTTCTAGTCTGCTCAAGCTTCTATATTTATTATCATAATTTATCTTTTATTACTATCTAATATAAATCTTAATTTCATGGACAATAACGAAGGAAACCAAATTTCCCTTTTATATATTTCCATTTCATAATTTTTTTAAAATCAAATATGCTCTAACTCCCAAATAATATAAAGGTCTTAGTGGATTAAGAAGATTACCTTTTTCTTGGATGGAAGAAATAGATAAGGAATTAAATAAATGGTTAAAAGAAGGTATAAACCAATCGTTCATAGCGTCTGGGCCACACCGCTAGTTCCCTTTAGAAAACCAGATAATAGCTTAAGGTTATGCTAGATTATAGGATATCGTTAAATCCATGGATTATTACAGAGAATAAAACTGGCTAATCTAAAAGGAGCGACATTTTTTTCGAAGATAGACTTTTCTAATGCTTATTTACAGAGGTGAATGAGAATACAAGTAAATGTTAACAGTTACAACACATAGAGGGTTGTTTGCATTCTGTCGATTACCGTTTGGGTTGAAAGTATCTGACCCAATATTTCAAAGGACTGTGGCTGCTTTATTTCAAGGATTAAGGGAAATCATGTATTATTTACACGATGTTTTGATATATGATAGAACAAAACAGTAATATAATACGAGATTAATTAAAGTTTTTAACATAATTTTAGAAAATGGTTTAAGTGCTAATATTAAAAAAAAAGAAGTGTTTTTGGAG